CCTTTGCCTGTGTGACCAGTGTTGTTCCTTCGATTCGGGAATCAATAAATTACCAGAATTGTCACGATAAGTAAAGCACAGAAACATTCTTGAGCATGTACTATTACTAAATATCTCAGTAAAATTCAAAAGGAAAAAAGGTAAACTCACAACTTAAGTGTTCTCTGTTGCGCCCTTTTGAACTTCCTTGGACCCTTTTTTATTATCTGACCCGAAAGATGAAACCGGATCTTTATTTATACGTTATCCCAACTCTCGGATCCCCCCACCCGTTAATCGTTCGGGGACGAGTAATACCTTTTCCATTATATTTTTAAAAAAGAAAAGGGTAAAACAGTAATTATACAATTATTTCCTTTTCGCTCAATTGGAAACCCTCGTTTACGCACGAGTATAAATAGCGAAGTTACGTCCTCGTAATAATCCCCTCGTCGCTGCGTCTCTCTCCCGCAACCTTTATTAGATTCGTTTATTCCCAGAGAGAGAGAGAGACACAAATTCAATAAGCGACCATGTTGGTGTACACTGATCTCCTCACCGGTAATCTCAATCAATTGCTATTCATTGATTCGAATTGATATTTGCGTTAGATCTGTGATCGCATCTTAGGTTTTAGTTCGTCGATTTACAGCTCTTATGTCATTAGCGATGTGCTTAGTTATTGATTAGACGATTTACATTAGTTTTCTAGTTGATTTGTAATTCGATTAGTGGTAAAGCATAGTTATTGAATCTTATCGTTAGATCCGTGACTGATTAGTGTTTAATGAGTGAGTCTTTGTATGAATTTGTGTTTTCTAATTTTGATTTGGATTGGTTTAATATGAATCACTGGATTGGTTTACTGAAAAGATTTAATTGGTTAATGATTCAGGTGATGAGCTTTTATCTGACTCTTTCCCTTACAAGGAGATTGAGAATGGTATCCTCTGGGAAGTTGAAGGAAAGGTCTGTATTGCCCTCATCAAACCCCTTTTTACTCTAAGTTTCATTCTTTGTTCTGATTTTTTTTTTGTTTGGTTTATATTTTAGTGGACTACTAAGGGATGTGTAGAGGTTAACATTGGTGCCAACCCATCAGCTGAAGAAGGTGGTGAGGACGAAGGTGTTGATGACTCTGTTGAGAAAGTTGTTGACATTGTCGACACTTTCCGCCTTCAGGAGCAGCCCACTTACGACAAGAAGGGGTTCATCGCCTATATCAAGAAGTACATCAAGCTTTTGACGCCCAAGCTTACCCCGGAACAGCAAGAGGAGTTTAAGAAGGGTATTGAGGGAGCTACTAAGTACTTGCTCCCCAAGCTCAAGGACTTCCAATTGTAAGTTTTTGTCCCCTTAATCCAGTTCGTGTTGGATACTCTTGTTGTTCATATGAAATCTGATTTATGTTTGTTTTGATATAGCTTTGTTGGGGAGGGGATGCATGATGACAGCACTATTGTCTTTGCTTACTACAAGGAAGGTGCAACTAACCCTACATTTTTGTACTTCGGACATGGTTTGAAGGAGGTCAAGTGCTGAGTTAGAAGCTCTCTCTCGTTGGGGTTACTGTGGTCGGTCGCAGCGACTCTATGTTTCTTTATATTGTTGTGTTTCTTTTTCTTTCTACTTCTCACCTCTATTGCAAGATTCTTAAGTTATTTAATCCGAAAACAATGGTTTATTAGTTGAATTTTGGTTCTGCGTTTACTTTTGTTTCTTCTATTTGATCTCTCTTCGGTCTGGTTATCAGTTACTATCAGTTAAACTTCGCTTTGTCTAATCTAAGCGTTTTAACTTATCCCGACAACAATGGTTTGTTAGTTGAATTTTGGTTCGTCCTTTACTTTTGTTTGTTCTATTTGATCTCTCTTCGGTCTGATTATCAGTTACTATCAGTTAAACTTCGCTTTGTCTAATCTAAACGTTTTATCTCATCCCGTAACTGAAACTATCAGTTAAACAATCTTGCCTTCTTCAAACATAAGTGTGTTGTCATCTCCGTATGTCTGCTGCTTTTGAAATTCACATCAAGCGATTTGAGTTATAGTTCCATATCTTAAATTTTTCTCAAAATATTCCAATTTACCCGTCAGAAATAACATTAGTTGATTTTGACGACCACGCCGAGAAAAAGTTGGCTACGTGCATTTTTTTAGTATAAGATTATGTCTTCGTGAAGCTGCGTTAGTTGCTCAACATGATTTGATGTATGTGTTTTTGTCTATGTGTAACCGAGATGACAACCAAAATGCGTTGGTACGTATTGTGTCCTAAGTAAAAGGAAACGTGATTTGGTCGGGATGACGCTACGCTAATTCTCTAATTGTATTCGAAGTCATTATCTTCTTCAGAGTTTTCTTGTTACCTTTCGCTTTTAAACAAATTATTAAGTCCACAATATTACGTAGTATCGACTTCTTATCGTATATTCAATTGTTAATCTTAAAAGATGAGGTACACTATGTAAAAGCTGCACTAAACTAGAGACCAGTTCTATTAACGGATAAAACAAAGAAAAAAGTAAACATAAAACTACTTTTACTTGTTACTTAAAATCATAAATACTTTAGATCGAAATGCTTTAGGATAACGCAAAGCTTTTTGATTCAAAAGAAAGTAACCCACAAGCTTTGTTGTCCCACTTCTCTACTTTCGAATATTCTTGTCCTCGTATATTATATTTCGATAATACAACACACAAACAAGTATGATATAGCTCTTAATACACACACATATATGCGTGATACATCTATAAATTCTAGCATTGCAAACAAATTGAAATCAAAAGTCAAGACTTCAATAATTCAGAAAATTCATAGTGGTCAACAAAATAAAATAAATATGAAAGCATTATAAAGATATTAAATCATATCAGGTACAAAAATTCCCAAAGTTGTGGCCTTCATGTCTAGGAAAACTCATGTCATTTTCCTCAGACATATTCAAAATTTCATCTCTCTATGGTCTAAACCAATATCCTATCAGTTTATGCAATTTGGTCGAATAAGTATATATGATTCATTAATTTTTCATTTTTCTTTTTGTTTCAAAATCAACACTAGTTCGCTGTGTCATGATCTCAGTGTAAATAAAACTTTGATACGATGATGACAAAGACTGATTTCAACACTATCGTAGAAACACAAAAACATATAAGACAGCATACTGCAAATAACCACGCCGTTTCATAGAAGATCGTGTACAAATTGCTCTTGGACTAGAATGTAACATTTATAAAAGTAGGACAAATCGGTGAACATCTCTAAAGTTAAAGGACGTTCTAACTGTCACTTTTTTCAAAACGCTTCGACTTTTTCTTTAATTTAATTATTTTAAAAACTGGGTCTTACACTTTGTCAAAACTCCTTCAACGCCCCTCTCTCTCTCTCTCTCTCCGCCTTAACGTTCCATAGAAAGACGAACATTTTGAACAGAAGCTTCCTCTCTCAATCTCAATCTCCCCGTCATCGTTTAGGGTTTGTTGTCTTCCGATTCGGATCTGATTGGGAGCAAATTCCAAATCGCAGATCTCTAATCCAATCGGTAATCATTAACTTAAAACATTCATTTCGTTAAATTCGATCTTCTCTAATTGCAATTCATCGGAGATTTGAATCTGAATCCTCTCTCCACAATGTGAGTATTCCCTTTAGATTGAAGAATCAGGAAATTTTATTTAATTGAATTTTTTTTTGATTTATGATTTTTTTTGTTTTTGTTTTTGGGATGAAGAGTTTGTTGTCAGATCTCACAAGTTGGCTCCTCAAAGAAGATCGCAGCGCCACATGGGCGGCCATATGCAGCAGAGCAACGCTGCTGCTGCGGCTGCGACGGCGGTTTACGATGCTGCGGGGCCCGCCGCTAATGACGCTGGAGATGCTGTGATGGCGAGGTGGTTACAATCCGCTGGGTTGCAGCATCTGGGATCTCCCGTTGCTTCTTCCACAGGCAATGATCAAAGGCATCTTCCTAACATGCTCATGCAGGTATTCTTTGATTCTTTTGTCTCTGTAATCTTACCAATAACTTGCATGGATGTAGTTCTCTTGTTGTAGACTACTTTAGCTGGTAAAAGTATGAAACTTTTTATGTATTAGACCAAGATAGCGAAGTTTTGGTAAAGTTTTGATCCGCTGCATCCTAACTATATGCGGTTTAAGACGAGTGTTAGGGACGTAGGGTTGTTTCTCTTGTATGTATACTAGTCATAATGTATCTCAAGGAGAGAGCTTGGAATATTTTTGATCATCCATGTGATCGAGAATAGTTATTTTGTTAGATGTTTGTTTTAGGGATGTTAGTAGTTTCGCTTTCTATTGGTCAGTTTCTTTGCTATAGGAAATTGTGTGGCTGGCTCTTGTTTTTATTTGTATGAAAGGGAATTTGAAGCCTTTTTGTGGTATCTGCTAGGGTTATGGAGCGCAGAGTGCTGAAGAGAAACAAAGACTGTTTAATTTAATGAGAAATCTTAATTTTAACGGGGAGTCGACTTCTGAATCATATACGCCAACTTATCAGGGATCAGCAGCTATGCCTTCCTCGGAAGGATTTTTTTCACCTGAGTTCAGAGGTGATTTTGGAGCTGGGTTAATGGATCTTCATGCAATGGATGATACAGAGCTTCTATCTGAGGTACGTTTGGAAGAAGAACTAGTTCAGAGATTATTCATAGTTATGATCATTACTTCATTAGTGTTCGTTCAAATGGAATAGAAAAAACAAAACATGTTGTTCATTGTCTGTTCTTGAGTTACAACCTGGTTGTTAATGGTGAAACTGCCAATCTTACATTATCGTCTTGAGTCCCACCTAATTCATTGGCTTGGTGTGCACGCGATCTATCTGCGAGACTTCTGTTAGACAGGACACTCAAAAGGATTTAACGAGAGATGACAGTTTTAGTCTTGATTTCATTAGAAAAGGCTACGTATGAAAAAGCCGATTGCATTTGCAAATTCTTAAAGAAGAGATTATCCATGTGAATGTTGTCAACTTTTGTAATATGTCATTTTCCTTTCATTTTGTAGCATGTGATCACCGAACCCTTTGAGCCGTCGCCTTTCATGCCTAGTGTGAATAAAGAATTTGAAGAAGATTTTAATTTGCCAGCTAATCGTCAACAACGGCTACTAACAGATGCTGAACCGTTGGGCTCATTGCCTAAGAGTGAAAAAGAAAATACCAATGTAGCCAAGATTAAAGTAGTGGTAAGGCATTCATTTGAGCAGTAACTGTTTCTTAACTACGTGATTGTTTTTAAGCAACGGACATTATGACTAGGGCTCACTGGGACCGTTGTTTGTTGTCTTCACTCTCTAGGTAAGGAAAAGACCCCTAAATAAGAAAGAAATAGCTAGAAAGGAGGATGATGTCGTGACCGTGTCTGATAATTCTTTGACTGTCCATGAGCCCAAACTGAAGGTTTGTGTATAGTCCTCATTGAAGTTAACAATGTCATGCATGATTCAGTTAAACAACTGAACGATGGCATTTGACATTTGAGAGAATCATAATCTTGTTGGTGCAGGTGGATTTGACAGCTTATGTGGAAAATCATGAGTTCTGCTTTGATGCTGTTCTAGATGAGGATGTTTCAAATGATGAGGTAATTGAATAATTCAAACGTATTGGAGTCATAGCAAATTCTAGCAGGAGTGCATGATGCGACCTTGAGCTGTGACAGATTTATGAATGCATTAAGCTTTGTAGACTTTTAAAAGCTTTACTCTGCTTTGTTGTTGTTTGTTGTTTCCTTGAACAGGTGTATCGGGCCACGATTGAGCCGATAATTCCCATTATTTTCCAAAGAACAAAAGCTACATGTTTTGCATATGGTCAAACAGGTATGCAATGGAAGTAATGTCCATTCGAAAATATTAGATGATAACATTTCTTCTTGATTTCATGGCCCTGATGATGTTTTGCTTTATTCAGGTAGTGGTAAGACATACACAATGAAACCACTACCCATACGAGCTGTTGAGGATCTAATGAGGTTGTTGCGTCAACCAGTATATAGCAATCAGAGGTTTAAATTGTGGCTCAGCTATTTTGAGATATATGGTGGAAAGCTGTTTGATCTTCTCAGTGAGAGAAAGTTAGTGTTCTTTCTCTTTCTCATTTCTTCTTCAAGTCATAATTTTAGATGTCCACAATTGCAAATGCAAGTTTCAAGTTGCCTAAATCATTCAGCTATTGTCGAATAGGAAACTTTGCATGCGAGAAGATGGTAGACAACAAGTTTGCATTGTTGGCCTGCAAGAGTATGAAGTTTCAGATGTTCAAATTGTAAAGGACTTCATCGAGAAAGGAAATGCTGAAAGGAGCACTGGGTCTACTGGAGCAAATGAGGAATCTTCTAGATCACATGCTATCTTACAGCTTGTTGTAAAGAAGCATGTTGAGGTAAAAGAAACTAGACGCAAAATCAATGATGTCAAGGAATTACCTGGGAAAGTTGTTGGGAAGATTTCTTTCATTGACCTTGCTGGCAGTGAAAGAGGCGCAGACACCACAGACAATGACCGCCAAACAAGGTAAGGATGCTCTTTTCTTTACCTCTTTTTGGACTTGATGGAGTGGCACTATGTTACTTTAGGACCACCACTCTCTTGATCTTTAGTTTTCACGGTTGATTTTGCTTAGGATTGAAGGAGCGGAAATCAATAAGAGTCTCTTGGCTCTTAAGGAATGCATACGTGCACTGGACAATGACCAGCTACATATACCATTCCGTGGAAGCAAACTAACTGAAGTCCTCCGTGACTCATTCGTTGGAAACTCAAGAACGGTGATGATCTCTTGCATCTCTCCGAGTGTAGGATCGTGTGAACATACCCTCAATACACTACGATATGCTGATCGGTATGTTTTGTACATACTCTAAACTAATTCTCAGTTCCAGCCCTTCTTAACCTGTTTGTTATTTTACGGAATAAACAGGGTCAAAAGTCTATCGAAAAGTGGGAACAACAGCAAGAAAGATCAAACTACCAATTCAATGCCTCCGGTTATCAGAGATACTTTGCTGAGCACAAATGATGTAGAAGATATCTTTGAGCCTCCACAGGAAGTGAATGTACAAGAAACAGGGAGGAGGATGGAGAAGGAAAGCTACACTACTTCGAGTAGTGACTTCAGACAACCTACAAGTTATCGCGAGGAAAGTGGAATCCCATCAATCTCAATGGACAAGGGGAGATCAGAGACGAACAACAATTCTTTTGGTGGCTCCGCTAGTCAGAGGAACCAATTGTCTTCATATCCGCAAGAGACTTCAGACCGTGAAGAGAAAGTGAAGAAAGTGTCACCACCTCGTGGGAAAGGGCTGCGGGAAGAAAAACCAGACAGACCACAAAACTTGTCTAAAAAGGAAGTCAGGTCATCGGAGATCCCTACCTTGACAAGCTTTAGACGACAGAACAACACAAGCGAAGCTGCTTCAAGGCAGTATGAAACTGATACTTCGCTTGATGACAACATTGACGCACTGCTGGAGGTAAGAACATTCACTTAAACATCTATAACAAGAGTTTAACCTGTCAAAGCTAATACTAACAGTTATGATAACCACCGGTTCAGGAAGAAGAAGCTCTGATAGCAGCACACAGAAAAGAAATCGAGGATACAATGGAGATTGTTCGCGAGGTAAGTAAATATAACTAAATGACTATTCAATTGTAGATCATAATCGTTTTGTTTAATTTTTGTTTTGTTTTATATAATCATAATCAGGAAATGAAGCTTCTAGCGGAGGTGGACCAACCAGGAAGCATGATAGAAAACTATGTAACGCAACTGAGTTTTGTCTTGTCTCGAAAAGCAGCAGGGCTTGTGAGTCTCCAAGCGAGGCTAGCTCGGTTCCAACACCGTCTCAAGGAACAAGAGATACTGAGCCGTAAGAGAGTTCCTCCTCGGTAGTTGGTATAAGAAAGGGAAACTAAAGAACGACTTGTGTGTGTGGGAGTTGTCAGTCAAAGTGTGAAAGTTGCTTGGAACGCAATGAAGAAAGAAGAGAGTGAAATTTTAGTTACCGTTATCAACAAAAAAATGGTGATCTCTTCTTGAATCGTGTTTGTGAATTTCGGAATTTATTTCATTTTATTTTTTAAATCTATTATAAAATTATACCTTTTGTGTTTCTTATTTTTTTTTCTCCTTTAAAAGATTACAACAATAGTATGTTTTTATTTTGTATATCAGTAAAAGAATTATAAAATATTAATTATTTTGTTAAAAAGTAATATAAATATTAATTAAAAATAGTTAGATTTTTGTGATGAAATATTAGTGGCACATTAACCAAAGAGAAATTTTTAGGATAAATCTTTAAAAATTGTTATCACAAATATAAACTTTAAAAATAAATAACTAAAATAGATTTAAATATTTTATAGAAATAAGTAAATATAAAATTATATTTTTTTGGGTTAACTAAATCTTATTATCTTTTGCTTAGAGTTTTTTTCTTAAAGTTAGGAAGTGGAGTTTTGAGATACGATTTCAAATTTTATAAAAATTAAAAATTAAAAATTAAAAATTTTAAAGTAAAAAATGTTATTTTGCTCATTTTAATGTTTGAGATCAATTTTGTTGACATCATTTGAAATCTATTTTGTGATAAAAATTTCAAAAAATTCATCTGAGAGAATTGACATTGCTTTTTTTTTTTTGGAACACTAGAATTGACATTGCCTAAAGCTCAAATATAAACCCAAAAGTAGTGAAATGTAATTGAACCATGAAGTTCCACAAACCGAATATAACCGGAGAGAACCAAGAAATTGGTTGAAAGTAGTTGTTTTTCCAACGCTTCAACGGTAAGTCGCCGATGCACCTGAAACCTAAAAATCCATTCCTCCGATGTTTCTAAGCCTTCTCGACTCATGTATCCGATCACGGAATCTGATCCTAGGTCAAATCATTCACCAGCACCTTCTCAAACGCTCCCTCACACTAACATCCTCCACCATACTCGTCAAGCTAACGCGTCTCTACGCTTCATGCAACGAAGTGAAACTTGCACGCCACGTGTTCGACGAAATTCCCCACCCAAAAGCCAATCCCATTCCCTGGGACGTGATGATCAGAGCCTACGCATCTAACGATTCCCCCGAAAAGGCTTTGGACTTGTATTACGAGATGCTTAGTTATGACGTTAGACCCACGAAGTATACTTACCCTTTTGCCCTGAAGGCGTGTAGTGGTCTGCGAGCGGTTGAAGATGGTAAGATGATACATACCCATGTGAAAGGTAGTGGCTTTACTGATGATTTGTATGTGTGTACTGCTCTGGTTGATTTCTATGCTAAATGTGGGGAACTCGATATGGCAATCCAGGTGTTCGACGAAATGCCTGAGAGAGATGTTGTTGCTTGGAACGCTGTGATTTCTGGGTTTTCTTTGTATTGCGGTTTAGCTGATGTTGTTGCGTTGTTGAAGGATATGCGTAGGAGAGATGGGCTGAGGGCTAATTTATCCACCATTGTTGGGATGTTTCCTGCATTAGGAAGGTCTGGTGGTGCTTTGAGGGAAGTGAAATCAGTTC